TCTGTATTGACATTGGGTCAAATATGTGTAATATAAATGTGAAATAAATTTTGAAGTTGGTGCCTTCCAGAAGGAATTAGCATCTCGAAATTCCAGGCAGCAAACAGACTCTATGTCTGTGTCCATAGGCAAATAGTGAGAGCACCGACACTACCAGTCCGCCCCAGCTCGAGCCGCGCCCCGGGCTCCTCGTCCTCACCGCCACAGCAGCCGAGGCATAACACCCCCCTGTCGACAGCAGCTACCTCGCCGCTATATTGCGGTTCGTAGAGATAGCCACGAACATCCGATTCGAGCGCAAGACCTTCAAAATCCCCTTCATCCATATCAGTTTGAAGTTGAAACATACTTTTTTCACCATTGTCGGTTCTTATCAGCTTTCTCCATAGAGCCTGTTTGCATAGCTTCCAAGCAATATGGCGGACGTTAAGTTAAGCTGGGAGTGAGGTCTCACCCACTGATCTGTGATAGGTCTGTAGCTTCAGTGGTCGAAAATATGAGGAACTAGCGTTGTAGTTTCACCCTGCTAACCACAACAGCCGCCGATGACGTAAAATTATGATTTTTGGGTCATCAGAGGCTCCTTGTCAGACTTAAAAATACAAAGGTATCCCGTCTCAGGGGAAAATGAGGGCAGGATGCACGACCATTCAAAAATATTACCAAGATTCTAATGATACAAAGCTTAATGCAAATGGGTGAAGTATCCCTTTAATCATTTTTTAAAACAAGTGCTTTTCCCCATTTATTTTTCAAATTGAGGTACTTTGTTCCTTTCAATGGCTAATATCTTTTCATGTTCAAATAATATAACATCATTTTCCCAGTGTTCCAGTAAAGGATGTATAGACTTCCAATGTTTATATCATAGGATTAGGATTTTGGCTTGACATCTGGGGTGGCTAATCATATTTCAAGGGTAGCATGGGGCCACCAATACTGCTGTGCCCATGCCCCTTGTCATGGTTTGTACTTTAACATGGTAAGAGGCATTTGTAGATTATATCGTGATAGCAGTTCTTATTAACGGCTATCAGTGCCATGCTCATTATTATATGCCTTCTTTAGCAGATTATGTCATTTCTGTTTTATCATTTCGATTTTCACTCTTGCTGGTGAGTAACCATTATTTGGGGGGGGGGGGGTTATCATGCTGTGTTTTAGTGGGTACCAATCTATTTCAAACTGAAAGTCATTTTTAAAATGGGCTAATTTACTTACTAACCTCCCTCGTATTATTTCAGTATCATGGTCGTAAATGCTTAATCACTAAGATATTCATATCATAGCTGCCATTCAGCCATTTCTGGTTGAAGTATTGACTCTGTTAGTAGGGCACCAAACCCTTCAGGCCACCGTTTACTATCTAAGTGTTATTTATTCTCAGAACCGAATGTTTTTGTAGGACTAATTATTGTCTAATTAATTCCTGCTTGGTGAGTAAATGTCTAGCTGTGTTTCTTGGAAGGGGACGTTTCTCTTCAATTAAGTTCATGTTGTTTTTGCTATCATGCACAATTTGATGTGTTATGTTCTAACTGATTATGCCATATTTGCTTCTTTGTTTATTAGTTATCCATGGCAACCCTGCTTGGTAAGCAACAACTTCTCTCTTTTACTTCTTTTTCTTCATATTATAATCATGTAAGTAGTGAGCAGTATTTCTTCTTTGAAAGTTGTGATACAAAGACAAATAAGGTTTATTATTTTTATAAAGTCATAATTATCTATTCTAAACTGTTTGAGAGTCAGTAGTGCTGCACACCGATCCAGCGTGCTTATCTCTAAACAGTTTAGTCCAATGCTTCACCTTTCCAAGTGTTATTCTGTCTGATGTTCTGCCATATGTAGCCAATACTAATGTGTAAAAAGGCTAATGAGTATCATGGTTGTATAGAGAACCATGTGAATGTCTCCTTTATCAAGGTTGGGTGTAGGTTCGCTCTACAGATTGGATTTGTCCTGGCTAGAGGCCTGAGGGTTGGTGTGTGTCAGATTGCTGTACAATTAGACCTGCAGTGTTTTGTGCCTCATGCAGCATGCTAATTAGCAAGATGGCCCCCTCCTTTTACAGTCACTGTGCTAAGAGGTGGCATTGCTGCCTGGCTGAGTTGTCTTTCTTGCACTTCACAAAGTCAATCAGACATGAATTGGAACGGCCTTCCCACTCCGGAATGTTGGGTTCCAGAAAATTGGCATGTTGCCATGGTGACAGATGCATACATTTCTACATGTTGTCGTGTCATGACATAGAGAGCAGGAGTCTCGGTTTCAGTTCCCCTTCCAGCCTAGGAGCACATTAGAGGGTGAGACTGTATGAATCAGTCATGTAACCCTATAGGAGACTCTCACCTTTTCCCATGGTCTTTCAAGAAGTTGCTGCATTTGTGCAGAGAGAGATGTTTTTCCTGTCCTTGTGCAGGCAAAACGGTTTTGAAAAAACGGAGAGAGTTAAATTAAGGTATGTTACTCCACTGATGAGAGTGATGATGCTTAGAGGATTTGTACCCTGATAATCATATATGGAGGCATTGCTTTTAACTTTATTCATTCAGCCTGATATAATAGATGATTTCTTCTTCTGTAAGATAGAGTGGGAACTGGGATAAGTGAGTGTGGAATAACGTGTAGGAAAGGAGCCACAGGTTGGACTCAAACCTGGGCCGCTTGCTCGGAGAAAAGCCCCATGTAGGCCTACATGAGGCGCAAACTGTCCGCTAGTCCAACAGAAACCCCAAAATCAACTTTTTAAATATGCATTTCATGTTTGAATTACACGCACACACAAGAAACAATATATCCCTTTTAACATACAGACTTTGCATTAGAAAAGTCCGTTTTCAGGTAATTCAGCAGAGAGTGCTCTTAATAATCCACTTGACCTGTTGCTGAGGGTGACATTCGGCTGACCACCTTATTAGCACAGCAGGCCACATCTTCAAATGTCCAATTTCGTCTGAGTGCCTACTGATGACGCAACTCAAAAAAAGGTATGCACAGATTCTACACTCGACACATGAAGGAAACGTATCATTATCATTATCATCATAGCACACTCAAAGGTTGAAATGCATCCCAACTCCAGCGACATCGCGACCCCCAACCACCCCAAAGCTGTAAACCTAGGGGAAACACTGATTATGCATGCATGGGGGGGGATTTCCACTTTTCATGCAAATGATCATCATTGCAGGAAACGTTCAAATCACACAAACCAGCTCTGTAGAGTTACAAAATTTGTATCTTTGGAGAATTGGTGGATTACTGCAATGTTTTATTTTTACGGCAGTTGTAATATGTGGAAGCCCTTAGAAATGAGCATGCCTGTAAAAGTAGTAGTTTGACATTTTATACCAGTTGATCCAGGGCTGTCAGGTGCTCATCATCAGCACTTACAAATGTGGAGACATATTAGACAGGATAGAGGATAAGAGTGTTTTGTAGCAAGCCAAAAACAGAAGCATTACAGGTGGAAAAACTGGTAATGCACCTTACAAGTCACGACTTTTGTCACTGACAAAAGAGCGCTGGAATGATCTCTCAATTTATATAATGAAGTTTTAATCTCAAACCAAAAAGCCCACTGTGTCTTTAATCACATAACAGATGTTGACTTTGTTTGTGACGAACACAGCTCATTCAAGATGCTTGTCTGGCTTGCACAGCTACAGTACAAATGAAGAGAAACTTTGTGCCGTACACATCATGACCAAATCGGCCTAGTCAACTTTAATGAACGTTATATATGCAAGACCACCTTTCTCCCCTTTTCAGCACCTGTCTCCTACACTCTTAGATCATTCTAATGCACTCACACAACCAAACTCCCAAACACACTTGTTGTCTCAACATTTACCTGAGGGTGTCTAAAATTGTCTAGCTCACTTGTGGAAAATTACTAGGATTGAGACTGAAAGAGAGAGCAGCTGCTTCAGGGGCTCAGCAGCTTTCTAATGGAGCTGCCAGTCTAAGAGCCCCTCAGCTAAATCACTGTTTTATTAAGTGCAAATGTCAACAAAAGGCTTGAAGCCACAGCTACCTGAACAAAGAGGAAATTCAGACCACAAAGAATCACCTCAAACTTTCCTGCTCGTTGACAGGGTTCAAATGAATAACTCTCACAAAGGGACAGTGTCTCAAGAAGCAGGAGTAGGAGGTTTGGATAAAACCAGTCAATGTGTCTTCACAATTAGAGTTATGCTAACAGTTTTAATACTGTAATGTTGGAGTCGGACATTTGGTGCCACTTATATGGGCTTGAATACAGTGTAGAAGAATTATGGCACGCAGACAAGCGAAAGGCTGCTGCAGCAGTGTGAACCAGCCGGTGAGGAGTGAGGAAGACTTGTGAAAAAAGTGTTTTTTCTTTTAAAAACGGTATAATGTAAATTTGAACTAAAGTTATATGAACAGAATTAACTGATATAAAAGTTGACTTCTTGGTTAACTGATAAACTATTAACGAAGTTACATTTTAGATTTACCTCTGATAAAAATTCACAAAAAAAATTGAGGCTTTTGTCCCTTATTTGGTCTGTCATCTCCCCCACTTTTTTATTGCTGTATTCTTGTTCTTTATAATTCCATCATCAGGCTCTGTTCTGCAGCTGAGAAGATCACAGCTCTCTTTTTCAAATTGCTGTGCAAAATCTCTTCCAACAATCGATTATTTAGGGCTGCTTTTATACTTTTGTGAGCATGCACGTTAGAAGCTCTATGAACCCTGACAAGCGTAAACCTTTTGAGATGTGACTGAATTGTTTTATCTGAGCAGCACAATCTTTAAGTCAAAGTAAACATTCAAGCAGACTTATTGAGTAGGCGCAGCTTTCCTTGGCTGACACAATAGAAAATGCCACAGGCCAACCAGAACCCTAATCTCATATAAAGTCCAACTAAAGAGAGAGACAAAAACACACAAGCTCACAGATAAATCCACACTGAGGTAATCAGGTGTGACTAATTACACAGGTGAAGACAATCAGGGTGTGGTACACCATCACAGTGGAGGCAAACACATAAAGGAAGGAAATGAAACACAATAGGGCAATAACTTGAAAATAAAACAGGAAACACTGAAGACTAGACTGAGAAATGTAAAAGTACAAGGGCAAAAGGTTAAACAAGCGATGACTCACAAAAGGTAAGAACTACAAAATAAAATAGGAAACATCAAAGTAAGTAATAGCAAGTAATAATCAAACCAAGAATATACATTACAGTAATGTACTCGCTAAGGAAGGCAAGCAGATGCATAGAGATAAATTATACCTATACATTATGTGTCATCATATCAACTGCAAGTTGAAATGATGAAATGCACAGTAGAAAAGTCTGTGGAGCTTGGAAAATGTTGGGAAAAGGAACCAAAAAAAAAGGATCTGCATATCCTTACTTCTTTGTACTTTGCACGAGCAGCAGGTGACGGGCAGCCTTCTGCAGTATGAGCAGAAAAAGACACCTGTATAGCCGTCTCAGTACAAGTGCTGAGGCAGACTATGAGGGAAAAAAACACTGCATAATAATTGCCTCTTCATCACTGCAGTGACACACCTTCAGAGTGGCAAGCCCTGCACTCCTGCCACTGCAAACACAAGGATACTGAAGACACAGGCATGTTGTATGCTTAAAAAATACAAAGATTCAAAACTTTAAAGTTAATATTCTTATTTATTTATAACTAAGCTTTGTTTTTTGGAAATGTTACCCTTGATTTAAGAGGTTGGAGAAAGGCAAACAGGACTAGAAGAGAGAGAGGGAAAGACACAAGCAACTGACCTGTTTAGAAATCTTACCCAAAAGCAACCATAAGGATCAAATATTGCTCTGTTTAAGTGTATGTCTGGGAGCAAGGCCAGGTGTAGTAAAACAACATCAGGGCTGCTCTACACTTCATACACTGAAGCACCATCTTTTGACCTCTACTCCATTTTTTTATTTCTGTCCCCCATTTCACACATGAATGCACTCCTGAATGTTCCTGTCATCGTCTAGGTGGGGTGTATGAGTCGACACAAACCACAACAGCATCAGTTTGTCGACTTTACCACAACTTTTTCCTGTCATGCCGCTTGTCAGCGTGAAGTCAGTTGAGCAGATGTCTGAACCCTGCAGGTGAGAATCTGGATGACATTATTCAGGTTGTGTATAATTTTTCTGATTTACACTCCTTCTACTTCTAGTTGTTTGGGTATTGATTTCTAATATTGTTTGTATTGCGGAAACATCCTAATACAGGTTATATCAATGTGAACCCAGAAACAGTTGTCATTTCAGGCACTACAACACCCATTACCCTGGTGTGTCCCTCACTTAAAATAAACAGAGTATTTAGTTAGAGCATGTCAAAGGGCAGCTCTGGATTTAGCAAGGTACAGGACAGAACCAGTGACTTTATGGTGTTGTATCATACAAGGAGGGCTAGTAACGACTTTTAAAACTATTATGGCTCTTGCAAATCGGTTTACCACAAATGTTGACAGAATAACATCAATTATGGGTTAAGATCTTCATATAGTTTTTTAAAGATTTTCATGCTTAACCTTTTATTAACAGGCTTTGGTCACATTTTAAAGGTTTGAAGGAAGAATTTACTTAAAAATTAAAGCTGAATAAAAGGTAAAAGTAGCAATATGTATAATTGAAAAATCAAAAAAGACACGCACATCTCTCAGTGGGTGCTGGATCCAAAAAAAAACATGAAAAGGGAAGGAAAACATAACGAGTTTCGCACATCCAAGAAGCTCCCATTTGAGCCAACATGCTTGGATCCAAACGTCACTTAATAAATCCTTCAAACGGCAGCTTCTTTGTGTGCGGATCTTGTTTTGCTTTTCTTGCAATATGTAACTCTGACACAGAACTTTTACAATTGGTACTGCATTCCAAATTCAAAACATTGACGAGAGCTGTCTCACCCCGCCTCTTCTCTCTAGAGCCAATGAACACGCAGGTTTCCATGTTGTGGACACGGAAGCTTCAGTGTTTAGCCAGCTCTGCATCGGTCTTGAAAACTTCTGTGCTCTAACTTCTCTCCATTTTTGCCAAAGCATCTCCAACATTTATCGTGTTTACCAAGTTTCTGGTTATAGAGCTTATTTAAAAAAGATGCTGTGGCTTTTTAGGTCCAGTACAAACAGTTATATCTGAACCACAGTGCTTGCCCCCTTCCGTCACTGCAACATCTGTTGGTTTTGCCGTTTGCCTGGCAAACCAAGAGGTGTCCAACACAGCAATGAGGGGGTGCCTTAAAACAGCTTACTTCTCTCTGGTCAAAACAAATACAGACCATTCCACATCAGAATCAAAACTCAGAAGGATGAGATACTGGCTGCTGTATTGTTGACAGAGAAGCCAGCACTTAAACATAGCATGTTTCTTTACTGTCTGATGATATAGTAATGTAATTTTATAATTCAATTCAGTAGATATCTTACATATTGGCCCTTTAAAACCATAATTCCAAAGTAAATGGACCAAAGTTAAAATGCTTTGCTTTTCAAGAGGGCTCCTCTCAGAACTAATGGATTCAGGAATTACACAACACCCCTGCTGTGAGTTCTTCTTACTTTGCATAATGGGTAGTTAATTCAACAACACTCCCTGAGAGGATATCTAAGAGGTTTGACAAACAGTGATTTATCAAACACAGCATAAATCTACCGTGCATCTTATTTAACATACAGTATTTATGTCTTTAAAGCTATGGGGAGACATAATTACTCTCCCACCAGCAAATCCTTCAGTCAATTACCAACTAACTATCTCTGCATTGGGCGAAACTCCCAGCGAGTTACAGAAGTATGAGAGACAGCACTCCCAGTTATTATTCTTGTCATTTCCCAGACTGCATTCCAGTTTCACGAAAAACCAATCTTCCATGCTTACTCACTGGAAATAATCAAGAATTACACTGACACTGATGATGTAGTTAAACCTCTCCTCCTTTCCTTTTCCATGTAAATACGTGAACAGCCCTTTACACACATACACCTTTGTATCTGTGTCTGTGCATGAGAGGGTGCAGTGTTTTCAGCCCCAGTCAGTGGAAATGTTGAGTACACCCCACTGTGGAGCAAACTGTGACTGCTATCCAATGACATGCTTGTCTGCTCTGTTCAGATCATTACGTTAGCTGGCTACCCTCATCCCGTATGAAGTAGCCTTGGCTCCTTTTAGATTTGATGAAGCTCCAAAAAGCTGTCGGATTTACTGCACGCTCTCTAGGTTCCCTCTCTCTTGTTGCCTATATTAAGTGGTCGAGACATGAGCATTAGTGTTATAATCCTGCAAAATGTTTCTCCATAGACATACATCACATATTTTTAGGTGGACACAAGCATGACTCAAAATGAATGCTAATGAATGCCCATGCTCCTCCAAAACCAGCCGGAGAAGTAGCAATGTTCGCTAACTCTTTGGAAACATCTCAGTGTTGTGTTTGCAGTATGTTTTTGCCACAGCAAGAGAGAAATAAGACTTTGATGATGATGATTTATCAGTTTAGAGTTTACTTGACATAAATATTTTATGTAAGCCTCCTACAACCATGTAATTATTCCTTGTGTAGGCCTGATTTCTAAATACCTTCAACAAGTTACAGTTTCTGAAATTAGTGATTTTATATATAGTCAGATGAATAACAAACAACATGAAATATGTGCTTGCTTTGTTTCATTTTCAAAAGTACATACAATTGCTGTAAACTGATATACTGTAACATTTTAAATATTCCAGTTATAAAAAAAACCTGTACAAAAAAACGTCATATATTCAAACTACCAAAAACAGCATGTGATTTTAACATCATTGATTGAAATTAATTAAATAAATATATACAAATAACACATACTTACATTTTACATTTCAACCCTGTGTGTCCACAATAATTGGAGTCTAAAATGAACTCTCCATCTTTATGATGTCTTGAACTTTTCCATTTGAGTCAGGCCCAATGGTCAACACCAGCTCCATTTCATGGCCAGGGGTTGGGATGGCAATGTTGTTAATCTTGGCAAAGCTCTGACTGATGTCGGTAAAAGTCTTATTTTTAGTTTCAGGGAGCACAGCACAAAGGTAGATAGATCCCAAAATGCAGACCGCCACAAACACTAGGAAGGCGAAGGACTGCAGTTCCTCCTATTCACAAACAGAAAAAAAAACAACAGGGAATTAGATAGATCAAATACATGTGACAAGAAACAGTAACTGTATTGATATAGCAAAAAAGGAGGACTTGAGGAGTAAAGTTATCTCATAACACACAAATCAATTTAATTCGTCTAGATTTTTCTATTTGAGGGTTTAAAGCATTTGGTGATTACTGCTCTCCCCTTCCACAGAGCCAAATCCTATATTTGTTTTTTTCAGCAGTCCTAAACTCTGGCCAACTCCAGAGAGACGTCAGCCTGGCATCTGTTTTGTCATCTGGCTGTGTGTGTGTGTGTGTGTGTGTGTGTGTGTGTGTGTGTGTGTGTGTGTGTGTGTGTGTGTGTGTGTGTGTGTGTGTGTGTGTGTGTGTGTGTGTGTGTGTGTGTGTGTGTGTGTGTGTGTGTGTGTGTGTGTGTGTGTGTGTGTGTGTGTGTGTGTGTGCGTGCGCATGTGCGTGTGTGTGCGTGCGTGCGTGTGTGTGTGTGTTATGCTGATGACAGCATGACATTCCAATTATATTACTCTCAAATGGTTCCACAGCCTTGTAAATGAGGGTATACATGCACCACTTCAGATTTTCTATAAATCTGTGTATGTGTGTTTGTGAGTTAAGAAATGTTAAAGTACCCAAAAGTCACCTTGGCCAGTTTGTTATGCCAATAGTGGAGATTATGGAGACAGATTTAAAAATACACACTGACTGATTACCCGGAGGGGGATTTAGAGATGGAGAGAGGGTGTGTGTGTGTGTGTGTGTGTGTGTGTGTGTGTGTGTGTGTGTGTGTGTGTGTGGTGTGTGTGTGTGTGTGTGTGTGTGTGTGTGTGTGTGTGTGTGTGTGTGTGTGTGTGTGTGTGTGTGTGTGTGTGTGTGTGTGTGTGTGTGTGTGTGTGTGTGTGTGTGTGTGTGTGTGTGTGTGAAAGGGAAGGAGGGAGAGCGAGAGATTTTGCATGGGCAGAGAAAAGTGACCGACCCTCACCAGTGTGTCACTGAGCTATAATACGTTGCTCATGAAGGGGGCAGGACCCAAACGCAGAGCTAGAAACGTGGTGTCCACAGAACCATGACCTCATTAAAGAACTACTTAATGCTTTGATTTGAGCTGTTACATCAACCCTGCTGTTTGTCACTGACACTCTGCTGAGTGCATTTTATAATAGCATTAAAAAAAAAAAACAGTGCATGATGCAAAGGGACTGACCCACTTCCCATGCCGCCTCTGTGACGTAATGCTGATCTCTAAAGTTAACAAGTTCCTCAGCAATCACTGCCCCTGTCTCTAAGCTGACATTATGGATGACTCATGATACAAACAGGACATTTCTGCACTCAAACCATTAGTCGTCAGTTCAATTTTTCCAACCCTGGTGGACAGAGGAGGAGGAGAAAACTCCTTCTTTGATGCAGGGATAATCCTATGATCTTCTGTGGTGACTCAGCCGGGTTCAGTTTGGCTCACGCACACACTAACATTGAGGCACACAAACACTTATAAATAGCTCCAGAAAAACAACAACAACATACAGGTTTGTGTGTGGAAAATCTCTTGCTTTTTTTCTATTAGTGGTGACCCAAATGATGTGCTAAAGTTTGTACTTGAAGTAAGGGCGAGGCCAAGAGTGGAAGTGCCAGGACACACGCAGCTATGCCGGTTAGGATGGTCTAGGAAAGGACAGAATGTGATGGGACAGTTCAGGACAGTGCTAGCTTGTCCTGGAAAAGAAGGGACAAAATCTAGCAGTCCAGAACAGAGCAATGCAAGTGAGAACTGTCTTGGACAGGACAGGATCAAATGAATACTACTGAACGGTAAGCTCAGACATTAAATGAAAGGATAGTACAGTGCAGAGTAGTACGGTTCAGGATCATACAGCGCAGAATGTGGCTGGATGAGACAGAACACTGCAAGGAGAGCAGTCTACATTGGGACAGGGCTGTCTTAGTCTGGACAGAACGGGATAGAACAGTACTGTGCGAGACTGGATGGAACAGGAAAATACAAGACAGAACATGTGTGCTGTATTAAAAAAAATAGCTAGATGGGATGAAACAATTCAAGTCAGGGAATCTAAGACATGATTGGATGGGATAGCACAGGATGGAACAGTCCCAAACTTGGCAAGACAGTCTGGGATGGAACCCTTACATTGTATATTGAAAGACATATGAACAAAGGAAAGGTCAGTGTAGAAATGGATGGGATAAAAGAGGAAAGGAGAGGACTGTTCCAAACACAGTCTTAATGGAACAAAGCAATGCCAGACAGAACAATCTTGGATATGACAGGAGGCTATGGGATATTGCAGGATTGAGCAGGCTATAAAAGTGAGTGAAGGGACTAGATAGAAAAAAGATCAGGACAAAACAGAACCGTGCAGGCAGGCAATCTATGACAGGAAAGGAGCATCATAAGCAGGGCAGGACATGATAGTTTAGAACAGGGCAAAACAAGACCTTCTAGGACAGAACAACTCACTATAACATTGCAAGACAAAAGGATGTAGGCCAGAATAGAAACATGTTGGATGGGACAGCCCACAATAGAACAGTGTAATACAGGATGGAAAAGATCAGCCAGCTACTGTACCTGTCAGACTAGAACAGGTCAGTAAAGGATAAGACAGGACAGCAGGAGATTAGGCAGAACAGTACAAGTCTGCGCAGGAAAGGACAGGACCAGACAAAATAGGACAGTATACCAAACAAGAAAGTTTAAGATTAGAAACAACAAAAGGGTATTGAAAAGGAAAGTATAGAGGTAAAGAAGATGATACTGTTAAAACACACACTATGGATATAAATCCGATGGAGACATTGAAAAAGTCCTGGACCAGTGGCTGCTCGATCTTGGGGAATAATAGTCACGGTCACTGGTTTTGGAGGCAATACTGAGTCATTATTGGTGATGGGGTGTAAGCGGTGCTGGCAGGGATTATTTGCATGTGTGTGGGCTTTTATAGATTGTGTTGAATCTTCTCTTGGGAGGCACACTCAAGGTTAGAGTCTGCAAAGCACGAACGACTGAGTGGTTCCTACATTGTAAATGTCAACACTGGGCTGATTGGGGATTTTATGGATTACAACATGACAATGGTGCCAAATACTGTGATCATGACAATGGAAATCATTCAGCATGAATTAAAGCTCCAATGATCCTAACTAATCAGAAACACATACAAATGTATGCAACCTCACAGTATATTAATTGATGTGAGTAAGTGTGATGGATCTCTAGTCTCACAGACATAACAAACAAAAAAAGCCTGTTGTTGATCTTCATTTTATATTTCATAGTGATGATAAATCATCTGTATGCCAACTGCATTGGAAAGTGACTTGAAAAGTTCAGTGAATGTCAATGAGGCAAAAACAATGATTCTTTAAAAGGATCAACACATTTACTGTAACAGACATGGGAAAAATATTTATAGCAGTCCTGCAGAAAACATGTAGTTCTTAAACATAAAAGGTCCTTTGAGGAGGAGTTTATATCTAGTTATATAATAAGACTGAAGTTAAAACTGATGCCTGTATATGACCTACAAAAACAAACAAGACCAACTGAGACGATAATTTATAATGTTGTTAGTAATGCTTGGAACCTAGAAGGTGTCAGGCAGTGTTTAACTCCACACTGCTGAAAAGTATTTTGCTTTTTATTTTCCAGGGCAACGATTTTCAAAATGGTACAATTGACTGTTTAAAGAAAGCAGTATAAGATGTTTTGTTAAAAACAATACTGACATGTGTACAGGAACATATCGGTAAAGATAAAAGGGATACCGCATTAAAGACAGGGGTTGCTGAAATCAACACCCAAAGTTCCTCACAGGAGTTTCAACTGTTGTGAGTTGTATGCATTTTGGCAATAATTAAATGCTATTCAATTTAATTTAAAAAATCAATATTGGAAGGAACAATGTTTCCAATAACAACATTTTATTCTGCAATACAGCTGGCTGAGATTTAGCAGCAATAAAATACTTTGAAACTGTTCCAGCACAGTCAGCATCCAGCTGAAATTAAATTCTTTCTTGACCTTGAAAACATAAAGGTGATCTGACTGCATGGATCATTTTAGTTACTGGTCAGGATCATTTGATCATATCACACATTCTGTCTTCGCAGTTGACAAGTAGGTATGGTCTATTTTTTTCAGAGCACTTTAAGTATCCTTGTCTACATGGGCATAAATAATTGAGATTGAAAGGTCATTCTTAGATCTCTTATAGTGTGATTTAATAAGAAGTTCTACAACAGTGAATGAATGTGTTGAGACAGTTCCATCGGTCAATATTGATTCATAAAAAGGACCAACCCCTCTTAAAGTTTGAGGACAATTTCTTTAATAAAATCAATTAAAGCTGGAGAGATCCCTCTATCGTTTTCCAATGATGTGTTTTAAACAGTCCTTTGTGATCCTTATTTGAGTTTGATCAATCTGTGATGCATCACTGTTGTTTTTCTTTTTTTTGGATTATCAAGTGGACTGAAGGATAATAAGGGGTATTTGTAGCTCCTGATTAAATCACCCTCTTGTCCAACATTTTCAGAGTAATTGTGTGTAATCAAGTGTTTACAGTTGACAGCTTTCTTTTTCCTGTTCTGTTTTAGCTCTTTTAACTTCCAGGAATAAATCATGACATGTAATCGCTGCCATCAGTTCTGTTTAAAGAAAATCCTTAGAAGTTTGCTTTGTAGTGTTCTTGGTGTTCTTGTTGTAATTCACATTGATTTGTGCCAACAGAACAAAACAAAGAACTAAGTGAAAAAGCAAGAAAAGTCCATCCTGGAGAAGAACACTCGACTGAAATTTTAAACAAGGCAATCAGTAAGGGGAGCCTCAATGGTCTGCAGACTTTCTGTCAGATGAAAACAAACTGACACTGCTTGATATTCAGCGCCGTGTATGACATCAAAATCGGCCTCAACACAGGTTAAATGAGGTGAGCTGCTGTGATGCTGTTAAAAGCTCTTGATTATATTCTCATGAGACACTGTAAGCCTGTCACCCTGCCATAAACTGTGCTGTATTGTAGTTATGAATAATAAAGCAATGGTTCCTTGAAAAAAATGTAATTCATAAAAATAAATTTAAATTATTTGTAGTAAAAGCAACATTTGGTTTCAATTGACCTTTTATTTTATTTTATTAAGATACATGAATAGGGGCGCCGATGGCCTAGCATAGCGCATGCCCCGCGTACAGAGGCTAAAGACATTGTCATGGACGCCACGGGTTCAATTCCGACCACGGCTGTCCTATCCAATGAAGCCAAAAAAAGCCCCAAAATATAACTTTAATAGAAATACATTTTACAAAGATACATTAATTGATAGTCTTTATCATATATTTATATAGGGCTTCATTTTGAGCAGTTCAAACTGCAGCTCCTTTAAAAAGAAACATCTAGACTTCCTGTTAAACCTGCTGCATATAATGCTAAGAATTCTTTTGAGGGAGTTTGATAACGGGCCATTTCATACACCAGGAGCAACTCTTGTTGCTAGTTTAGGACCATCACAGTTTGTATTTTCACACTGAAGGCCTACTTTATTTAAGTGGCAAAGAACCTGTGCCAAACTGTTCAGTTGAATTGTAAGCACATTACTAGGTCGAGGAAGCGAAAAAAAATGACCCTTTGATGAAATATAACCTGCTTGAGAGTCAGCTGGGAATTCAGGCTGGATTCAGATATTTAGATGAATTCTCAAAGGTGTGTTTATAATGCAGCTTATCTGTCCTGGTTACATAATCGATCCAGAAATTACACACTATAAGATGAATTCTATTCTTAGTCTATATCAAACCAGAAGGTTTTCCATGAGGTGTGGGTCAGAAGGGTTGTTGGCATTGGATTGGTCCTCCCTGAAATGGGATTAAGGCCTCCCTAAGGCCCCCTTACCAGAGACAGATGGTGATGCAAAGATGCCTCGTTAGTATGAGACATTCTGTATAACATGGCACATGACATTGTTGTGTGGATGTCATTCATCCACATAGAGAAGGAAATAAACCAAAAGAGGACAAACACCAATGTACACAAAACAACTGCAAAGGTGTGGGATTTAGAGTTATAGGTAGCATCTTATTACTATTCTATGACTTAAAATTCAAACTTCTGTGAACATGCCCCTGCAGAGGCTCAGTGACACCTCAGTGTTGGGCTTCATGGAGCTAAAGGGATGTGACAGGGCATCGGTGTGTTGGCGAGTGATGGTTTCAGGTGTCAGTCAGTCAACAGTGAGTCACTCCTGTGATCAGGATAGCTGGAAGTAAGTGGCCCCAACAAAACCAACACAGTGAAATATGTGGCATTGGATGGCTAAAAATAGCCCACTGTCGCATTCTTTCAATCCCCGCCCTCGGTCTGCCTCATCTCCCACACTCTTCAAACACATTTCTTCACGTATCCTGTGGTGGCATCATAACCTCTTTGCCATATGCCTCTATTATCTGTCTCATTACATATTCAGCCCAACCTCTACTTGCCCTTCCACAGACCAACTTCTTTAGTCGTCAGTATTTTTGTGCATTCATCAAATTGAAGGAGCCATCTATTTTATTGAATCGTCATGTTACATCTCTCTTCTCCTCCTATCTATCTGTTAATGACATGGGGAGATGGACATTCTTATTGAAATGTGCGTATAGATCTCGCTTGAATTCTTTTGAATTAAATGTCATCTGTTATCAAACGTCTAATCAAACTTGTAATCTGTGTTCCAGACACATCACCATTACACTCACTATCATGGATGAAGAAACACAACAGGGTTTGATGATCAGTACATGGTCTTACATCACCGCCGATCACAAAATTCACAGGCTACCTTTCAGATGATTATATTTGGACACTTCTGCTTTAGAAACAGCACAAACATGTTTTTGTCCTGATAAAATTGTGGAGCAAAGTCATCAAAGACAGGGAACCTGTAATCAGTGTGAGTACAAGCACTTTGTTTTGTGATGTGATCTGTGCTCCTTTCTTATTTTCACGCCCTGTTGCTTTAAAATCAATGACACTTGAGTAAATGAAAACAAATCCACTAATCCTGTAAGAATAACAACCTTCACACTATCCTTATGTCTGTGATAGCCTTTTTAGGTCTTTGTCACCTACAGATGACACACTGCTGCAGCTGACTGAGGGGACAGAGGGAGGTGTATCTGCAGGGACTGCAGAGGAGATGGGCAGAAAACATAAGACAGAAGGTCAACCCAATGTCACTACAATGTTCAGCATGCCGCAAGCCAAGTTTCACTCTGGTCTCAAACTTTTGCACTGACTTTGTCAAACTCTTTTTGTAACTCTGTGTGAACATGTCCTTTAGGGTTCAGTCAGAACAACCTTGCCTGTGTCTGTATACATTTTGTTCGTCTTTGTAAAATATATTTTAATTAATACATAAAAAAGGAAATAGTTTAGTTAAAAGGAAATTGCATGTATGTAACATGTACATATTGTCGTACTGTAAATTGTGGTTCTGTTAAACTCTTTCCGCAACTAATAGTAAGTAAGATTTGTCAGCTCTGAGTCAAAATGAGATTTGCACATTTTAACTAAAATCATGAATATACAATATGGTAAGATCATGTGCAGGCCTGTTCTATTAGAGTAATAAAAGACAAACCAGAAAAGAGACATTTATCAATTAAAACGGTTCAAATTGATGTTCATTTTTGACAGCAACGTGTCTACTGTTTTGTGTGGGGGTCCAGCAGAAAAAGGTTGGGATCCACTGAGTTATACTGCAAGTGAACAGTAATCCAAGTCATTTTCATTTTTGTCACAAAGTTTCGAGCTTGAAACAGCACAGTGATATTTTTTTGAATTTTGGAGCTCCTGCCTCTGCTTCTCAGGACCATTAAGGTTACTTCTGAAACATCCAGTGCTCATGTCCTTTTACTTATCCTCAGCAGACTGTAACTGAATCCTGCCTGTAATTGTCCTGATTAATGCCTGGGGCTAAATGCCTGCAACTTCATTGGACAAGAGGTTACACCACACACTATATCAAAGCACAGAGGAGTGTCTGAAAATTTCATTCAAGATGAAATCATTAAAAACCGCAAATTAATTTCATTGAAGACAAAGGCCTCTTGGATGAAATTAATTAGCAGTAAGAATATTTTTGTGTTAAATAATAATCAAATACAACGTATGGTGCTTCAGGAGGAGTTTCCCCAAAAGAGTGGAATTTAAATAAGGCATGTGATGAATCATACTTCCAAAAAAAGCACATCATTTTTATACACTGTATATTTTTTCAATCATAAATGTAATAATATGAGGAGATTTCCTTCCCCTTGTGGAGGGTGTCATTTGCAAAACAGGTGGTATGTCACAGTCTTTGAATAAACACAGAAAACGAAGAAAAATCTCCTCAATAAAATATCTCTGGAAGATGAAAGCCCTGAGCAAAACCTCTTAACGCCACCAGGTATTTCTAAGAAAATAACTGTATGACTGTATAGATGTATAAAAATAACTCGTTGACACTCTGAAACTCACAAAGATTGAAATGTCAAATGCTATTAGGATCTAATGAAGGACAAGTGAGACATTGTCACCAAGGGCTAAGTGATGCCTATATAAAAAGCAGAGCTGAACTTTGTTGAACTCTGTCCTCTCCACAGAACAGAGCAGACACTACGACTTTGAATACTATGACAAATAAAACTGAATATGGAAAAATCACGTCACACAGGCAGATGGATTACAATGAAAGATTTTTTATAGTTCTAAGACATTTTGTAACCGTACACAATGCATACTGTGGGTTTAAAGGCATTCAGTTTATTGCAGTATGTGCCTAACCAGTTTAATCAATGCTGGAATGACAAGGTCAGCACTTTAGTGTTTATTCTAAAGGGAGTTAGATGTTTAAATCGATGCTACTCTCATGCATTAATCATTAAACCTAGAGTGTTGCTTAGCCTAGCTTAGCATCCACAATTCCTTTTTGTCAGGCCATCATGTGTGAGTCTTTGATTTGAGGTAACACAGTACATACTTCTTGGAAGCGGTTGTGATAAATACTTGTATTTTAAGATAAACATTTTTGTGAGGGGGTACTTATGGGGGATGAATCTAAGGGGCATGGTGACCTCAGTGCTAGTATTAGAGTGTCTTTCAACTATTTTCCCTTTGGTTTGAGCTCACAATGTGACTGTTTAAGGCTCTTTTATATATTCATTATTTCGTTCTTTCATTCATTTATGTATGTATGTATTCATTTATTTTTGTAGCAAAAAATGCCCCTAAAAAAGAATGCTTATTGTGAATACTAGCTGGCATAGTTGAGCATTGAACAGGTATTAGGTTGGACATTTCCTTCTGGAGATAGTGGAGACCAAAAGAAGAGTATTGAATGTTGAAAGATGCAGCTAATGTGAAACTGCAAAAAAAAAAGCATTTTCTCAAATGTCCACTTGAGACTGCAAGATTCAAAGACTCCCCTTAAGTCTGATGTTAAAATGACTATTGGAACCATAGACTGTAAATAATTGCGGATTAAGCCTGAGTGATGTCACCCATTGGTCAGTGCAGTGGGCTTTGGATTCCAGATGCCAGTCACCATGCTGGAAATTATCTCTCATCCTAACTCTCAGTCAATCGAAGGACAGACTGAGCGCTAGAGCTGAGGTGGTTTTTAAGCCACTTGACAAAGCTTATATCCAACCCGCCCGTCAATCAGGTAAGCCACGCACCTAACCATGCATAACTCATATCCTTTATAAAATCAAAACAGATAAGTTACTTTTTTTAAACTCCCCTTAGAGTGTGTGGGAAGAAATCCAGCAAAGAGAGAATTCATGAAAAAGGAGGTTGAATATTTGTACAAAACGGTGCCGAGTTGCAGTACTTGGAGCCCTCCATTTCCTAGATACAAAGCCTGATGGCAGCCCAAGGTTTTGTACAGATTTCCGCAAGGTAAATTCAGTGACTGTACCAGATGCTTACTCGTTGCCGCTTATTGATGACTGCATTGATGAAATTGGCACTGCCAAATACATCACTAAGGTAGACAAGCTTAAAGGATACTGGCAGGTTCCTTTTAACACTATGTGGATCTGATATTTCTTCTACTGTAACTCCCAACAGCTTCCTCCAATACACAGTCGTGACTTTTGTCATGTGTAATGCCCCTGCTTCTTTTAAGAGACGAATACATAAAGTATTGGGTGACATTGCAAACTTAAAAGCATACACCCTAAAATCATTAGACACAGTTTATCACTCCGCCCTCAGATTTATCACTGGTGACAAATATTCCACTCATCGTTGCATCCTGTACGATAAAGTTGGTTGGCCTTCACTAACAGACGTGAAAGGCATTGGCAGCTATTTATTTATGAATCACTTGCGGGTAATCTACCATCATACATCATCACTTCTTTATTAATCTGGGCTGTAAATAAGTATCAGACTAGATCAAGTGACTGGCTAATGTTAACGGTTCCACATGTAAAAACGAACTTTGGGAAAACATCCTTCACTTATTGTGCTGCACACACCTGGAACACAATGCAAAACACATTAAAACTCAATACAATGGTTACCATGGGTCAATTTAAAAACACTGTATTCATGAGTGTAAATGTTATTAACTGTAGTTGCCTGCTTACTGCTTATTCTTCTGGTCTTATAATCTATGTATTTTGTCTTCGTTGTTTTTTGTCTCTTATTCGTTTTAATTGTACTCTCGACGTCGTTGTAAATGAGAGCTTGCCCTCAATGATTTCTCGAGAATAAATAAAGGTTAAATGAACATACTTGATAAAGTTGTTGTGTATTGTGCTGGTTGGGTCAGCCACCTGACCACATTGGGGGGAAGTTTTAAAGGTCTTGCTGCTGCATCCCTAACAATTAACTGGCTAAATATGAATTCGGGAAGGGGACTTTCCTCTAGCAGGTTTTAATGAGGATATAATACTTCGACTTGGGTAAGACTTGATGACTCAACATGCCACTATCATGAAGGACTTACAACTAGACTTGGACTTTGACACCAGTGACTTCACTTGGACTTGAACCGTATGACTTGGAAATACTGGAGATTTTAAAGAATGCATGAGATTTTACAAGTGCCTAGAATCAATAAATCTTACCTTCACTCCCTGAATCAACTAATGCTGACGCTATTCATTCATTCCTAGCAAGAGGACACCTTTTCTCCAAGAATCCACTTTGTTTCTTTCGTCCCACCGAAAATTTGCATTTTTGAATGGGTGTGTATGACTTCTGGGTCTTTTAAAGCCAGCCTCAAGCAGACACTCGAGGACACTCGTTGACTGAGAGGTGGAAGCACTAGCTGTTTGTCAGGAGCCTTAAGGCCTTCCTCAGCTCTGCATCTTTCTCTGTTTCTGTATTGATCAAAAGTTGGTAAATTCAGCATTTCCAATATGTTTAGTTTCAAAACCCCTTCAGAGGTGATGTAACTGTGTTCGTGTTTTATATCATTTGGTCATTTGGTTTCCCAAAAGATGGTCACGTTCCCAAAAGATGGTCACGTTTTCCTTGTTGTTTCTACAGCCCCCAAGTAGACACAAAAGTTTGTTTGTATGTTTTGTTGTACTCTGACATTAAAAAATATATTATGTAAGCTGCTCTTAAATGCAGAGAGAGAGCGGGCTGTAGGGTCTGTTGATGAGCGTGTTTCAATAGAAACAATCTTTTTGTGCTTTTTAGGGACAGTTGGCTGGAACTTTCCACACTTTATATCTGCTTTTTTCTGTTTGTTAGGGTTTGTCAGTTTCTACAGGAAATGTTTCAAGTTCTATAAAACCAGACGTGACTCTCTCAGCAGAAGCAGCATTACTCACTGTGGATGAGATCGATTAAGGAAACAATAGTTTTAGGAAAGATTAAGAAAAAAAAAACACCTCAAGACCTAGGGAAACCCTGCAATGCACCAGCATGCAGCCTCTAATACTTTACGTTTTTAGGAAACCAATTGCATGTACAAGGTCTAGGGTAGCACAGAAGATAAAGGTAAACAAAAACATGCATATAAACCTGGAAAAGATGTTTTTTTATCCTTTAAAAACATGTTGATTTATAGCACAAACAGTACAAACACCAGCCTTACTTTATTTGTGCCCTATCGGAGTGTGTGAGTGAGTGAGTGTGACAGAGACGAGAGAGAGAGAAAGAGAGAACGAACAGGAAAAATACAAACAGAAACAATGAACTGCACTACAGAGCAACATAAAGGTTGGGTACATGTTGTCTTGAGAAAAAAAGGAGACATAAAGGAAAAAAATAAAGAGCCAGTTTTGTTGGATGTGACCAATTCAAACGGAAAATTTCATATTGATTTGC